TGAGTGCAACCATCCAGCCAATTTCTTATCCACCGAGTGGTCCATCCGTCAAATCCATGTCTCTCCAATTTAGAGACAAGGATGTGGTGTGGGACAGTGTCAAATGCTTTGCACAAGTCCAGGTAGCTGACATCTGTTGCTCTTCCCTTATCCACCAACACCGTAACCCCATTGTAGAAGGCCACCAAATTTGTCAGGCACGATTTGCCTTTAGTGAAGCCATGTTGGCTGTCACTAATCACCTCCTTATTTTCCATGTGCCTTAGCGTAGTTTCCAGGAGGATCTGCTCCATGATCTTACCAGGCACAGAGGTGAGACTGACCGGCCTGTAGTTCCCGGGTCTTCTTTTTTTCCCTTTTTAAAAATGGGGGTTACGTTTCTCCTTTTCCAGTCAGCTGGAACTTCACCAGACTGCCACAACTTCTCAAATATGATGGCCCCCGATGAAGCTGATTTACTGGCTGGAATGACTGGAATTCCTTTGTGCTGCTCTTCAGGTGCTCTCCTGCTGCCCTGTGATCCTTCTCCAGGCTCTGGGCGTCTATTGCTGGCACTGTCATCAAACTGGTAGAAGTGGGATGGATTGAGGTTCCCCACCCATGGCAACTTTAGAGGCAGAGATGTCCATTCCTTCGGGAGAGTCATTCATGGAATCCGTTGCCAAATTCAAAAAGAGGGGACTCATTCCTGCATTACGACCTCTGGCAGTATTTAGTTGAATGAGGAACAGAAATTGTTACTCACCTTTGGAGAAATGTGTCTTTGCTCTTATTTGGACTACAGCTCCACACTGTCCTCATGCAGAAGACCATCCATGAGGAAACCAACTCCCTGATGTTTTCTTCTCAAGCCTTTCAAAAGGCTTACCACAGTCTTAGTGTTTGTGCTGGTACTAGGTTCAGAGTCTTCAGAGTCTCTGAAGTCTGTTCACTCTGGTAGAGTGAAAAGCAGATAGCTTGGTCATAAAAATATGGATCACACGAGAGGAAATTAATACGGTGCTGTCCCAGCTGTCTTAGACCTGGGTACATTGTCCTTCTCATTTAATAAAACTGTTCCCAAGTCTTAACCACAGGGGCTCAAGCATTTGCAGTGTCATACTCGTTGGCATTTGTTCATTTTCTCTGTAATCCAAATCCAAGATAAGTCTAATTCCATCAGAATCATTGTGAAGAATGAAAATGAAAATAGTCCTTTTCTTCTGAAGAAGAAGTCTTTCCTGCTGCCTTTAGGAATCCCAGGCCCCTGAGACTAGAGGCAAAGTCTGGCACAAGGAAGACTTACCCTTGGTGGAGGAGGATCGGGTTAGGGAACACTTAAAAATCTGCACATACCTAAGTCTGTGGTGCCTGATGGGGAGCTGGCTGACGTCATTGCAAAGCCACTTTTTATCATCTTTGAAAGATCACAGCAAACAGGAGAAGCTCCTGAAGACTGGAAGAAGCCACATGAAATTCAGTTTTACTGTGAAGGTGGTCAAACACTGGAGCAGATTACCCAGAGAGACTGTGAAGTCCCCATTTGTGGAGGTATTCAAAACTCAACAGGACACGGTCCTGGACAGCCTACTCTGGCTGGCCCGAGCAGGGGGTTGGGCTAGATGATCTTGAGGTCGCTTCCAAACGCAACAATTCCGTGATTCTCGTTATTCTGTGTTTCTCCATTATGTTTCTATTATCAAGTGTTGCGTGGTAGGACATAATCTTGCAGAGAGCAAAGAAGAGCTGAAGGAGGTATTTAGAAAGAACCTGACTACTCTCTGAATAGTTCTGGATATCTGACTCATGGGCAGTTTTGAAACTGGCTGCAGGATTCAGGCTGATTCAAGGTGGAGAAAACAAACGGGGAACTAAAATTCATTGTTTCCCAGAACTTCCTTTGATGCCTATAATTCTTGTGTTATCAGACAGAAGTTTTAAAACAAACATCTTCTCTGTAATATGTAATCACATTTTGGAAAAAGAACTGCCTTAGGATACTTTTGATGCAACAAATACCAGAATGTTTAAAGGGGGATTAAGCAGTCATGGAGAACCTTCACTGAAGACTATTGAAATTATGTATATACAAGTTGTGATTTTTGAAGTCCCTTTGTTGCAGATTTCTAGAAGGGGAAGACAGTAATTTCAAAATTATTCCTCTGTAATTTCCTACTACCTTGCACATCTCTGCCAGTGACAGTAAGGTGCAAGATACTGAGTGGACATGTGGTTTAAAGGTCAGTTTATCGCCTATGATCATACAGCCATTCTTACATCATCATTTTATTTCTACTTTATGCCATCTTGAAAGGTAATCAGTAGCTAGATGTCAAAAATACATGAAGGGGGCAAAAGTATACTTTTCTGCCTCTGATGATGACTCTGTTTGCAGATACACCAAAACAAGCTGAGGAGCTCCCAAATTGGGAGCCAATGTGAATCAATTCTACTGACATACATCCAAGCTGTAGAGATCCCAAGCTGTGAGTGTCTTAGATCTAAACCAATATACCATTCATAGAAATTGTTCTGGAGTTTAAGTCTATTAGCATTGCTTGAGCTATACTTGTACTTGCCCAAGGAAATGTCACACTGTGAAACTCTACTGCTCGTGTGTCCTCAGCCTACCGCCTACGCAAGCAGGGAGGTGTCCATTCATCATTCCTCTGAAAAGGAAGTACCACGTATCTGGAGCAACCTTAACATTCCTGTACTTCTCAGAAGTGCACTTCTGGAAATCATTCTGGCCTGATAGTTAATCAAATGAGGGCTTCTCATAGAGCTGCTAGCTACTGAAGACAATATTCTGCATTCCTTACTGGGTGGGAGTGCTCCTTGCCACACTGGCATCCGAAGAAGGAATGAATGCTTGCTTCATTTTATTTCTCTAATATGTTGTCAGATGAAGGTATTCTGACTTGCTTCTTGGCATCTTTAGCTGGAATGGGCTTTGAATAGTAAGAAAACTGAGGGATGATTACAACTAATACACATTTTATATTCTTATATTGGAACACAAAGCAGAAGAGGGGGTGTGTTCAGCTGTGAGAGATTCTTCTGAGGGAGCTGGCAGAGGAGCTTGCCAAGCCACTCTCCACCATTTATCAGCAGTCCTGGTCAACCGCGGAGGTCCCAGATGACTGGAAGTTAGCAAATGTGACACCCATCTACAAGAAGGGTCGGAAGGAGGATCCGGGGAACTACAGGCCTGTCAGCCTGACCTTGGTGCCGGGGAAGGTTATGGAGCAGATCATCTTGAGTGCCATCACGACGGGGGGATCAGGCTCAGCCAGCATGGGTTTATGAAAGGCAGGTCCTGCTTGACTAACCTGGTCTCCTTCTATGACAAGGTGACCCACTCAGTGGATGAGGGGAAGGCTGTGGATGTTGTCTACCTGGACTTTAGTAAGGCCATTGAGACTGTCTCCCACAGCATTCTTTCGGAGAAGCTGGCTGCACACAGCTTGGATGGGTGCACTCTGCGCTGGGTTAAAAACTGGCTGGACGGCTGAGCCCGGAGAGTGGTGGTGAATGGAGTCAAATCCACTTGGTGGCCAGTCTCAAGTGGTGTTCCCCAGGGCTCAGTATTGGGGCCAGTTCTGTTTAATATCTTGATCAGTGATCTGGACGAGGGGATCAAGGGGATCGAGTACACCCTCAGTAAGTTTGCAGATAACACCAAGTTGGGTGGAAGTGTCGATCTGCTGGAGGGTAGGAAGGCCCTACAGAGGGATCTGGACAGGCTGGATCGATGGGCCGGGGTCAACTGTATGATGTTCAACAAGGCTCAGTGCTGAGTCCTCCACTTTCGTCCCAACAACCCCATGCAACGCTACAGGCCTGGGGAGGAGTGGCTGGAGAGCTGCCTGGCAGAAAAGGACCTGGGGGTGTTGGTCCACAGCCGCCTGAACATGAGCCAGCAGTGTGCCCAGGTGGCCAAGAGGGCCAATGGCATCCTGGCTTGTATCAGGAATAGTGTGACCAGCAGGACCAGGGAGGTGATAGTGCCCCTGTACTCGGCACTGGTGAGGCCGCACCTCGAGTACTGTGTTCAGTTTTGGGCCCCTCACTCCAAGAAGGA